TACCAATGTTCAAAGCACCAGTCTTCACAATAACTAAAAGAGGTGGAAAAAAATCTATCATTGAATTAAAACGGTGTGGTTTATCTATGCAATGAAATATTTTTATACCATAAATAGAAATGAAGTTCTAGTAATAAAATATGGACAAACATCATATATTCATATATATTTACATATATTATATACATATATATATAATAAGGGCTGGACCCTTATATGGGCTTTATATGGAATATTCAATATAGCTACATCCATATAGACAGAAAGCAGATTAGTCATTGATTAAGACCAATATGAAAGACTGCTTAATGAAATTGTTAATTTATATTATTTTGAAAGTACTATAAAAAATTAATTAGGATTAGAATTAGAACGAAATCCAGAAGACAATACACAAGACTACAGCTAGCCTTCTATGGTGGTACATGCTGGGATTAAAGGCGTGCACCACCGCCACCCCCACCGCTGCCCAGCTATATTTTAGTATTTTAAAAATCAAGCAAAAAAATTATGGTTTTCAGTAAAAATATTTGAAATAAAAATGAAAGCAAAAAATAAAAGATAATGAAAGTATCTCATGAAAAAACAGGCTTTAAAAATATATTTAAAACATAATAATATGCACCCACCGCTAACATTAATGATAAGATATATGGGGAATTAGATGCAGCAGAGAGAGATGTGAAGTTTAATGGTGAGTTTTATAAAAGCTGAAATATTACCACAATATGATATTACATGTGGTCTCCATGATAATAACTGAACATGAATTATTTTTATGAGCTTTAATGATATTTGGTAACCATAGAGCTTTCATTAATTTTAATGACTCTTTAATAAAAATGAATGACTTAGGAAAAGCTTAAAATAAAACAACCTTTCTGTTGATGCTGATTTATGTTAAAATTTTCATCAGTGAAAATATAAAATTTTATAAAATATATGAAGACTCAGTTTAGGATCCTAGCATTAGACTAAGGAAATACTGATAATAAGAAACTACGTAACCTCAGGAAAAAATTGCTTTAATAAAGGAAATAACATTTTTAATCTAGCTACTTTTCTAGAATCTTGATAACTTTAAGTCTGAAATTATAGCCTTTACCCTTTGTAGTTCATATTGGCTTCTAAGAATTTACTAATCTGAAAACAAAGTATTATCTCATCTAATTGACCCTTGATCAAACCTGTCTCTTGGAACCAGAGCAGTAGCTCAACGGTTTACAGAGCACAGCACTCTTGCAAAGAACCCTAGCTCAGTTCCCAGCACCCACATCAGGCAGAGCACAACCATGAACTCCAGATCCAGGGGATCTAATGTCCTCTTCTGGTAGGCAAGCATCCTACACAGATGTACAGAGTATACACACACACACACACAGGCACATGCACACGCACAACCACACACACGCACATGCACACGCACACACATGCACACAATTTATAAATTAAGCCACATCTTATAAAATTTCTAGAGAATATGAATTTCTAAATAAAAATACTGTTTTAATGTCCTCTCAAGAAAGCTCAAGACATTTGTAATTGTTTTAAAAGTTTCTATTAATTTAAGTATAAATAATACTAGATAATAGAATTTCTTATATCATTCTACTATTTAGTAGGGTCACCATGCAAATGACATTTAACATTCCACACAAATGCTTTCCCAAATTTTAATTAACTTTTAATGCATCTGTTTTTTTTACAAATTGATACTGTCTTCCTCATATGTATGTGTAGGACTTCTACCACAAAAGATGAAAAAGAAGATTTGGATGTCACTGCCTCAGAGAAAACAGTCCACCCAGAAAAAGCAATGGGTAAGTTTGCTTTTCAGACTGAGTGATGTATAATTGTTTACAAGTCACTGACCTTTTACTTAATATGGTTTTAATATCCACATTTATTATTTTATGCATTTTCAAGATATTGAATAGAGAAAAGAGCCTGCTCTACCATTCTAGGAAGCATGCCTTCAACTAGTATTTATTATTAATGACTTCTGTGCCAAACACTGGCCTAAGCTGTCAGTGTGTAGTGATACTTGGACACAGCTCAAGGAACTAGTTACATGAAAATCATTGATAAAACTTTCTGTAGTGATCAAGGTATTGACTGTCTGTTTCTCCAGTGGGACAGTTATTACAAACAGAAAGCTGCTGATCAATTGGCATTTGGCCAGTAAGATTGAAAAACTTAATTTTTAAATTTCCTTTTAATTTACATTGAAATCTGAATAACTGTGGTTCAGTGGCTTCTATATTATCAGTTTACCACAATCTAATAAAAAAAGTTGCAAAATTTAAATATTGGCTTAAATTATTAATATTATTGCAATATATATGAATATATGCTTGAAATTATATTAAGTTTCTCATCTTTGCATGTCACAAAAATTTACAAATGCCTTCACTGGAAAAAAGCTATTGAACTCGGGACATTTTATTAAAAGGAAAAATGTTTTGTTTTTTTCAAAGCATCATTTATTCTGAGGCTCTGATTTAACTGATTTCATTCATTATTTATTTATTTATTTTCTGTATTAATGTCTATAGAGAAGATGAAAACTTCAATGTTTACATATCACATATGTGGAGAAAAAAGATGATGGTCACAATCACAATAAAATACCTAGCATAACATTCATCAATAATGACCACAGTCACAGTAAAAGTATCTAGCATAATATTCATCAGAAATATGCACATACAAGACTAAGACACACCATGATACCAGGAGGATAATGGCTTGCTGAAAGTGTTTGTATTAAAAAGTGAAAGTCATTTTTTACATATACTCTAAGAGAGTTGACTTGGGGGACAATTATAGTGATGTGTGTGACAATGGATCAGAGCCACTGCAAATTACTTACATACAGAATATTTATTTGCATGCTGTTAAAGAGAGAGTAAAAGGTGATTTGTAAAATCAGAATGAACAGTTTTGGTAAAACACATGTAAATCCAGTAAATTAAAATACTGTGATTATCGGTGACATGCATATCTTTGTGCATTTTTCACTTTAGATTGAGGGAGATTTTGATCACAAATTGTCACCATTCCATGAATATTTTCTTTAAAAACTCATTTAATAAAGTATCCAGGATGAAAGTAAACAATGGGTTCAAAGAGACCAGATAAAGCTGCAGACCAGAGAAAGTTACTTTTACCCCTTAAAATGAATTCATCTAAGGATACATGTCAACAACTTTAACATGCTCTCTAGGATAGGAGAGAGTATGCAGCAGTCCAGTTTGTCTTCATAACCCTTATGCAGCCATTTATAACACTGCCATCTAGCAAAAAAATCACTGTCCTTATTATCCAAAAGAAAAAAGACTTATCTGTCACTTTCTTCTTTTATGCCGGTTTACTGTATTACCTCCCGCCTCCCTCCATGGTGTTCTTTTCTTTCTTAACACGGTGCTTATATGTTCTTGTCAGGTCGCATGTTGGCGAAAGTCAGCCATTCCAGCTACAAATGCCAGCAGAATAGGACTCTCATCTGTCTTCTTCCTTACCTTGTTCTCTCTGGAGAAAAGCATATTATGGTTGTTGGAGAAAATAATAAGCTTTGTACACATTTTGTTCACAAACAGATGAATGAATACCTCTGGTAATTTTTTGTTAACATTAATCCGTATTATTCCAGAGCTGTGAACCAGGGATCACAAGCGTCTCTCATTAACAGAGTTAATTAAAGCTGAATAAATAGAATTTGGAAATTTCTGATGAATTCCTGCCAAGGCTAGGTGGAGAAGTTATTATCTGATAAAGTTGAAGACTGTCACTGCCTTCTTTTCCAGGAACTGAGTAATCTTCAGTATTGATTTAAGTTACTCATTGTGGTTTGTGCCCTTAAAGACTGGACGAAAATACAGCCACCATTTAAAAATAAAGCAGCTCCTGTGGTGTTTTTCCTTCCAATAGAGATTCTCTTGAAGACACTGCTTGAGGCTCTTCACATACTTTTTATAAGTGTTCGCAGAAAGTTCTGTCTCCAAAGACTATGACATCATCTTTGTAATATCCTCACAATTAGGTTATATATTTTTAAGGCCCTTTGTTTGTTTTAAAGGCAAATCTCTCATCCTACAGCTCAGACTGTCCCTGAACCTACAGGAATCTTGCAATATCAGCCTCTCTAGTGCTGATATCATAGGCCTGTGCCATCATGCCTGGCTCCGTTTGACATTACAAATGGCCTTTTAAAGATTAATTAACTTTCCTAACATTCTTTAAACACATAAATATTTGGAAGGATACTTCAAGTGAGACCAGAGCCAGTGCTCTGTCACATTGCCTGTGAGCTGATTGATTAACGTGAATGCGTGTTCCTATTTTAAGGTAAAAAGTGTCCAGAGTTGAAGAAGAAGATGGAGACATTGCTCTCAGAGGCCGTTTACCTCATTAAAAGTCTGGAAACTGACAGAGCAGAAGCTGAGCAAGCTTTAAAACAACAAAAATCAAGAAAGAAAAGGATTAGCATGAAAATTGACTCCTGGTCCATTTGGAAACTCCAAGAACTGCCAACAGCTGTACAGAAAGGTAACAAAAGAGTGTTTACTCTGCCAGTCAGTATTAGAGTAGCAGACAGGGTGCCCCACTGCTCTGTATGCACAATTTACTATTATGTGTTGCTTATAAACTAGGGTATGTTTGAAATATAGTATTAAAGATTGTAATGAATCCAGGGACACATGTGAGTGCTGTGCTGAGCAAACTTGGACTATGGGCTTTTATGTGTGTAGAAACTCCATTCATTACCTACCTTGTGGATAGGCAAACATTTGATATTTATCACTTACTGTGATGGTAGTATTTGTTATTAAAAATCCAGTTATTAAAGCTGAGTGCTCAGTTGGTATCATTAGCCATGTTTTGCGATGTAGAAAAATTCAGATTTCCAAATCCATGCTGGGAATGACACATCTTTGCTTTTGAAACCTTAGAAATCAATTCAGTTTGAAAGGAACTCCTAGGAAGAAGGAAACCTTAACATGTTTGCTAGAGTAAGTTGGGTAATGACTGGTTAAGAAAATGTTGTCCTTTAGAGCATATACAGAGAGAGCCAGGGTGGGAGAGCATAACCTAAAGATGCTGGCTGCTCTGTCTCCAAATCCTGTGTCATCAAAACCTTCCTCACCAGAGGTTCATCAGACACTAGAAACTTCTCATCCTATCCTGAGGTAAAATTCTGAGTTAAGGAGTCAGGGGCTTTGAAGTAATTTTAAAAAAAAATGAGATACTCATACCATCTCTCACTTGAATAGGAAATTCTTAAGAGAAAGAGGCATACTATTAATCATTGCTCTGGGATAATACGTAAAAACTTAAAGTATGTGTTGTGGTGAACACATGAATAACCTTTACTCATAACACCAAATCTTCTAAAATTATAATCTCCAAAGTAGATATATGCATTCTAGGAGTTGCAAGGAAATAATATAATTTAAATGGTCTTTTTGTGTAGTTCTTTCTTTGTCAGAATTTATAATGTTAACATTCTACTAATGCATTACTTTGTTAATAATACATGGTTTGTAAATATGATGAGACAATGACAGGGTCAGAATAGGTAACTTAGGACATTGAGGATCCTAGTAGGTTCTTGGCCTGCCTCATATTGACATCCACAGAGCATCTGCAACTTTCCTGATTGTTGCTCCTTGTTAGCAGTGGTAGAAAAGTTAATGTTGAGAGGTGATCTTTTGAGTGTTGCTCTGATTACCTCATAAGCTATTTATAAGATCATTTAGATACTATAGTTTTAAGTCCTTTTGGAGTTATATTTAGGGAGTTGTAAAAATAAAATGAATAGAGATATGTATACAATCTGAGAAACTAATAAATGTAATAAATTCTTGTGATGGGTAATAACTTATAGTTCAGCCTATCTTTTAATCAATACTATTGAAGGTCTACTTAAAATTCGGATATATATTTACTTGCTTCATTTTAATTAAGAGGTTATGCATGCAGTATAATTTAAACTTCTTGTTATACACTTCTTAAGACCTTTCTGTATGAAAACTGTTTCTGAAAAAAAATTCCATGAATCAGTTGGCTTTCCATGGATATAAACATTATTAATCTGTTTATAAAATACAGTTATGCATTTTTCTCTTTTTAGATTTGCTTTGTTTTGTTTTGTTTTTCGAGACAGGGTTTCTCTGTGTAGCTTTGGAGCCTGTCCTGGAACTCACTCTGTAGCCCAGGCTGGCCTCGAACTCAGAGAGATCCACCTGGCTCTGCCTCCCGAGTGCTGGGATTAAAGGTGTGCGCCACCACCGCCCGGCGGCCTCTTTTTAAATTACTAAAGTTTCCTGAATAATAAATAAAAATATCTTCTAATCTTTTTTTTTTAAACAAACTTGCATTTAATAAGTCTGAAGTCATTCTCAGCACATGGCATTGTACACGGGCATCTGTGGAAACAGATTCATTTTAACAGGTCGTAGTTTAAAAAAGTCATAGATACTTTGAGTTCTGTATAAACGGGTGGACGGCAAGTTAGTTCCTTTTGATTTATAAGCCTCAGCGTCACTGCAGAATAAAGAATGTAGCCAAAGAAAGCGCTATTGGTCACTCGTATAGGACAGTGTTGTTTCTATAATTTGAAGCTTTCTGAATGGACGGGTTCAGGCCTGATCCAACTTTGAAAAGATTACTCTGTGAATAGACTATCTAGGAACCGTACAAAGTGTCATTAACTTCCATCGCTAAGAGCTTACCCAGCACTATATCACTATTGCTATTTAAAATAAAAACAACTTGCTTCTGAGTCCCCATTGAGGCGGCCTGTGCACGCAGCCTCGATGCCCTGGCCACCTCGTGTCCAAGGTGTGCCAATACAGTCCAACAGAACCTTTGGCTTCAGGAAGGAGTCACAAACAAGGAAAGAATGGCTTTAATCGTCATTAGGTGGGCGGTGGGGGTGTGTGTGCTTCAGTCTGGGCAGTGGGGCGGGCGGCAGCACTCCTGCGGCCGACGCTGCCGACATTATTGTACATGACAAGACAGGAAGAGCAGTCCCTTTCAAACAAACTTTAAAAATGGTTCACAGTGGTTCGTTTCAACAGAATGCAGTTATGACAGTTACATGTACAGAGACTCACGCACCCTAGGGCTTTGAGTGTGCCAGTATCAATAGGATCTATGGCTTTTACGATGAATGCAAAAGAAGATACAACATTAAGCTGTGGAAAACGTTCACAGACTGTTTTAACTGCTTACCGATAGCAGCCATCGTGGATGAGAAGAAATTCTGCTGTCATGGAGGTTTATCACCAGATCTTCAATCTATGGAGCAGATTCGGCGAATTATGAGACCAACTGATGTACCAGATCAAGGTCTTCTTTGTGATCTTTTGTGGTCTGACCCCGATAAAGATGTCTTAGGCTGGGGTGAAAATGACAGAGGAGTGTCCTTCACATTTGGTGCAGAAGTGGTTGCAAAATTTCTCCATAAGCATGATTTGGATCTTATATGTAGAGCCCATCAGGTGGTTGAAGATGGGTATGAGTTTTTTGCAAAGAGGCAGTTAGTCACTCTGTTTTCTGCACCCAACTACTGCGGCGAGTTTGACAATGCAGGTGCCATGATGAGTGTGGATGAGATCCTCATGTGCTCCTTCCAGAGTTTAAAGCCTGCAGAGAAAAAGAAGCCCAACGCCACGAGACCCGTCACACCGCCAAGGGGTATGATCACAAAGCAAGCAAAGAAATAGATGTCACTGACACTGCCTAGCTGGGACTTGTAACATAGCGTACATAACCCTCCTTTTTAAACTGTAATGTGCTGGTCAGCCTGCCCAGGGGACCTGCTGGGCCTCCTCCATTTTGGTTACCGCTGGCACTTGCTGGTTATAGCAGCGAGTGAGAGGTACTTCATTCTCAAGAAAGCCTTTTGTTTTTAACCTGTTCCTTTGCAGACAACTGATGATGGTGGTAAGCTGTACACCTCGGCAGTTTAGCCTGTCCGAGGAGGAAGTGTACAACTGATCTTTTTTAATTTAGTACAAATCATGAATAATGCAAATGCTTGTTTTCTTTAGGAGATAAAGAAAGTCCTTCTAATCTTTTTAACAGTTGTGAGTGGAATGTTTGTTGGAACATACATTCTATAAAGTTAGGTAACCCATCTGTTATTTTCCCAGATCTCTTCCGGGAGCTCCTCCTCTGCCTATCCCCTATAGCACATGTTTTGTTTTGTCTCCCTGAAAGCTGGCTCATAATGACTGTGCCAAAGACATTTCTATGGTCAGACTTTCCTTTGTGTCAGCCAATGAGAATATACCATGAAGAGGTCATTGAGAAGAATGGAGCAAGGATATGGGTCGCCCTGGTCCCTTCCTCTTTGTCACACTACAACTCTACTTATCTACTTATCTAGGGCTACCTAAGAAATCCTTTATCTTTTTTCTATCAAAAAAAGATAACCAGAAATGTCTTCCAACATAAATCAGGTGTTATATGATCCCATAAACTATAAATTGGGCTGTAGAGCTTTATTCTCTTGTAAAATAAAGTGACAAATACATTTTCTCATACACCACAGGCATTTGGAGGCACAAATGAATGAGTGCCTCAGACTCCCCTGGTGTTCCATGTGCCTGCTCTTACCAGCTCCCTGTTTTTCACGTATCTGTGCTTGTGAGTCCACAACTACTTCCCTATGGCTACTTCATGGAAGAGGAAGAAGTCTTAGACCTTAGAATGAACACTTTGCCAGGATGTGACACACTTTGCAGACTGACAGGATGTGACACACTTGGCAGAGCTGGCATGCTCCACTAGCTTTCTATGGTGTGACTATTTAAAGCATCCCCTGAAGGAGAGATGGGCAAGTCCCATGTGGACAGTTGCAAAGAGGGAGGGATGCACGCAAAGGATGTCAGGTATGGATGTGAAAGAAGTCAACACAATGGAAAAATGTAATTTAGAAGACAATGTAAAATGGCTAATTAAAAAGACAGACGTGAAAACAAGAGTATGGAAAACTGGGGCATCGTGCACAGGGCCTGCACAGGTCTACAGCAGGTCCTTTGCATAGACATTAGGGCTTCAGTTGAGTGTTTGTATAGTATTCCTTAGTGTGTGAGAAAATGGGTATCTGATTCGTGTGTGTTTGTTTGACTTGTCCAACTCCATTGTGATAGTTTTTGTTTTATCTTACTTGGTTATATTGGATAATATTTTATTATTATCTCTTAGAAACCTGCTTTCTAATGAAAGAAAGGGAATGGATTTGGGTGGGGAGGAGGTTGGAAGGAACTGGGAAAAGTAGAGGGATGAGAAAGTATAATCAGGATATATTATGTGAGAAAAAAATCTATTTTCAATTAAAGGAAAACATAAATCAAATTTGAAAAATTAAAAAATGAAAAACAAAAAACGTAGACATGGACCTCTGACTCAATGAAGCAAAACCACTTTCTTCTTCTTCTCCTCCTCCTTTTCCTCTTCCTTCTTCTTCCTCCTGCTTCTCCTGCTCCTCCTCCTGCTTCTCCTGCTCCTCCTCCTGCTTCTCCTGCTCCTCCTCCTGCTTCTCCTGCTCCTCCTGCTTCTCCTGTCCCTCCTCCTGCTCCTCCTGCTTCTCCTGCTCCTCCTGCTTCTCCTGCTCCTCCTCCTGCTCCTCCTGCTTCTCCTGCTCCTCCTGCTTCTCCTGCTCCTCCTCCTGTTCCTCCTGCTCCTCCTGCTTCTCCTGCTCCTCCTCCTGTTCCTCCTGCTCCTCCTGCTTCTCCTGCTCCTCCTCCTGCTCCTCCTGCTTCTCCTGCTCCTCCTCCTGCTCCTCCTGCTCCTCCTCCTGCTTCTCCTGCTCCTCCTGCTTCTCCTGTCCCTCCTCCTGCTCCTCCTGCTTCTCCTGCTCCTCCTGCTTCTCCTGCTCCTCCTCCTGTTCCTCCTGCTCCTCCTGCTTCTCCTGCTCCTCCTCCTGCTCCTCCTGCTTCTCCTGCTCCTCCTCCTGCTTCTCCTGCTCCTCCTCCTGCTCCTCCTCCTCCTGTTCCTGTCCTTCCTCCTCTCCTCCCTCTTCTGCTTTCTTATTCTGTTGACACAGAGTCTTACAGTGTAGTCGAGGTGGATGAGTCATCTTCCTGCCCCATCCACCTGCATACTGGACTCCAGGTGTGCACTATCATATCCAGCTTGTGGCTCTGGTTATTGATAATGAAAACATTCAGAACATATGTCTGAGAATAATATTTCACTAACTGTGAACGTTTATACAAAGAAGATGATCAGTAAGTCAACAGACAACCAAAGTGTTTCTCTAGACATTAACAGAAAGACTGACTCAGTTCCTAGAAATGCTTCAATATGCAATATTCATGGGTATAAAACATAACACTGTTTTGTGAATGTAATTGCAAATGTCCATGAAATTAAAACAAAACAGAGAACACAACTGATATAAGAAGGCACTTTAAACTATACAGCAAAGTTAGGGGGAATCAATATAAATATGAAAACACTGCAGGCCTAACCCATGAAACAATGACACAAGAATCCTAAACAAAGGTATCAACAAACTTCATGAGAAAATTTGTTATTTTAAATTACTTTAAAAAATCAATTTAGTTTTATTGCAACAGTGCAAGATGGCTTTAGTATTCTGAGGTTGTAGTTGGAAGAATGTGGGAGCCCTCTTAGCTAATTTGCCTGTAATTGTCTAAGGTCATATTAGACATATAAAGTAATTGGAAGTGATTTCAATGCCTAAAATTTCAAAGATTTTTATCCAAGCAGGTAATGGTTATCAATTTTTTTCAAATTTAGAGTTTCTTTTCATTGCTATTTTCTACCTATGGGCCTTACTTTCTGTCAGGGTTATTATATATATATGTATATATATAATATATATGTATAATATATGTATATAATATGTGTATAATATATGTATATATAATATATGTTAATATTATGTTCATGCTGCTTATTTCACATTCTAGTTTTGTTGTGAAATCATTCTTTTCAACACTGTTGTTGGGTATTTTTTACTATTTTTCTCTTTTGGGGGACCCACTACCCACTCCCAAATAAGCACACGTGGAGTCTTATTATTACTTATGAATGCCCAGCCTTAGCTTGACTTAAGTTTTTGCCAGCTTTCCTTATCTTAAATTATCTCATCTATCTTTTCCCTGCTTTTCCCGTTCTCTTACTTCTGTAAATCTTACTCTTATTCCATGGCTTGCTGTGTAGCTGGGTGGCTGGCCCCTGATGTCCTCCTTCTTCTCTGGCTCCTAGATCTATTTTTTTCTCCCAGATTTCTCCCTCTATATATTCTCTCTGCCTGCCAGCCCCACCTATCCTTTCTCCTGCCTTGCTATTGACCAGTTCTTTATTAGACCATCAGGTGTTTTAGAAGGCACAGTAACACAGCTTCACAGAGTTAAACAAATGCAACACAAACAAAATGAACACATCTTAAAATAATATTCTACTACCAACATTTTTGTACTCATTCATTCATTCATAACAGGGTATCATGTATTCCAGGCTGGCCTTGAAGTCCTATGTAGCTAAAAGACCACCTTGATACTCATGCCTCTACCTCCCCAGTGCTGGGATTACAGGCGTGCCAAGCATCACCATGTCGGCAGTTGCTGGGTATCTAACTCAAAGCTATATAGATGCTGACAAGCACTCTGAACTGAGCTATATCCCGAGCCTGGATAAACTCATTTTATATTTTTAGACAAATAAATTATCCCATCCATTATTTTAGGTAAATCAATCTCATCCTATAATTTTCAGTTATAATAGTTTTTATTTGTTTACATAACAGGAACATGCCTAAATAAGAATAACCCTTTTATTTTGACATTTGTAACTCCAATTTTATCATTTTGCTTTTTTGTATTTCTGGAAGGCCTCCATTTTTTTCAATTTTAATTCCATTTTAGCACAATTATATTAAATGTTTATCTATATATACACTTGTGCATATATATATAAAATGATCAGTTTGTTGATAGTAAGAAATTGGATTTATACTAAAGATTATCAATTAATAAAACATGTTTTAATCCTTTTGGTGATGAGTGAAGAAAGAAGCATGGTTTACAATTCAATATTTAAATAACTTTGTTTTTTTTTTTTTTGTTTTTCGAGACAGGGTTTCTCTGTGTAGCTTTGTGCCTTTTCTGGAACTCACTCTGTAGTCCAGGCTGGCCTTGAGCTCACAGAGATCCACTTGGCTCTGCCTCCCAAGTTCTGGGATTAAAGGCGTACGCCACCACCGCCCAGCTTATATAACTCTTTTTAAGATTCACAGGTGAATAATTTCTCAATATCAAGTAGCTCTTGTATATAGACAAGCATTACTTTCTAGACTGTCTGCTACCGTTTCTGAACTTTGTGTTGCTCTCATCATCTACCTCCAGAACATGATATCTTTTCCAAAGACCTTGAAGAACTTCACAGCCATCTTGAAGACACAGCCCAAGAAGTGGAGCATCTAGAGCAGCAAAAGGAAAAGCTGGAAGAAGCCAACGCCAAGATCCAGAAGGACATAGACTACATGACTCACCATGCCCCTCTGCTGGAGATGAAGCGGAAGCAGGAGCTGGAAGCTCTGAAGGATCGCTATCATAAAAAGTTTGAGGTGACTAAATGTGTGTGTTCTCTTCTAAAGTTGACGTGTAGTTTATTTCTCTAATACCTGTTCAATTATAATTTATTGGTATTCATTTAAACACCTTAGCCACTTATCTATATACCTAAGATGATTAATAATATTCATTCAACTCATTAAAAATTACAGAGATTCAAAACAACCTTGTCATTTTTAAGCTATAGTTTGAACGGAGTGAGAGAGTAAGTAGAACATATTAGTAATTTAGTCATTGATAAAAATTATGAATGTAATGAGACTTCAAATGTTTAAATGACCTCAATCACATTGTAAAATCATTCTATACAAAA